GCTGGGTTTAGAAGAGGCCATGGCACCAGAGACATTATCGCCAAAATCAAAGAGTACCAGAGGAATGTCTATCTGTGTTTTATTGACTATGTGAAGACATTTGACACCATGGATCACAACAAATTGTGGATAACCTTGAGAAGAATGGGAATCCCATTCTTCAATCAGAAATATTCAATCAGGACACTTGATTGTGCACGTGTGAAACCTATACTTGGACCAAGAAGCAGTCATCAGAGCAGAGCAGGGAAACACTGCGTGATTAAAAATCAGGAAAGGAGTGCATCAGGGATGCATCCTGTCTCCATGTCCTTTCAGTGTATGTGCAGAACATATGATTTGGGAGGGTGGCCTCTATGAGAAGGAATGTGGCATCAGGATTGAAGGAAGTCTTCTCAGCAACTGATGTGATGCAGAAACTCAAGTGGCTGAAGCACTTGCTGCAGAAAGTCAAGGACTGTCGATTTCAATATGGATTGAAGCTCAACATCAGGAAGACAAACAACCAAAACAACTATGAGATATCATCTCACCCCAGTAAGAACAGCAAATTCAACAGAGCAGCAAACAATAAATGCTGGGGAGGTTGTTGCTACCCTCTGGAAGGCATTTCTCAAAAAATTGAAACTAGAAATACAGTTTGACCCAGCAGTTCCCCTACTGGGAATATACCCTAAAGAAACCAGAACTGCCACCCAAGCAGATAAATGCACACCTGTGTTTATTGCTGCGTTGTTCACAATAGCAAAAAATGTAAACAACCCAAGTGCCCATCAACAAATGAATGGGTAGAGAAGCTGTGCTATATTCACACAATGGAATACAGCATTAAAAAACAAGGAACTAATAAAATATCATACAGAATGGGTGACCCTGGAGGACATTATGCTAAGTGAAATATCTCAGTCACAAAAGGGCAAATGCTGCATAGTGCTACTGTTATAAAACAGAACTGGCATCGGGGTTGGGGGAAACTAAGAAAAGAGGGGATAAATAATGTACATTGCATTTAAACAGATGAGGGAGAGAATTGCTTAAACGGATATATGATTAGGTATTTTTTTGCATGACAGTACAGAATAAGAGCTGCATAGAGAAGTGGAAGGGGGAATTGTATAACAATTAAAGAATTTTTTCCCCCAAGAGAAAAGTGAACTGGAGGGAGGGGTGGTCAGGGAGGAAAATGTACAACAATGAATGAATGGAAATGTATGTTCTCTACAAACTTTCATTAAAATCTCAATTAAAAAATGAGGGGGAAATGAAAATGTTAAGCATGAAATAAAGATATTGTTTTCAATTAAAAAAAAAAAAGACAAACACCACTGGGCCAATTGACTGGCTCCACAGTCAACTCTCTTGGCACCAACAATCAAGAAATCAAAAGATGAATTGCTCTAGGGAAGGCTGCTGTTGGGGACCTCACAGAAGTGCTGAGGAGCAATGATGTCAGTCTAGAGACCAAGGTGCACCTGATTCAGGCCGTGGTCTTTGAATTTACTTGCTATGCATCACAGAGATCGGAAGTCACCAAAGATGACAGAAGAACTGAAGTCTTTGACTAGAGGTGCTGGAGAATAGTATTGAACATGGCATGAACTATTAAGAGAACAAACAGGTTTTTCTGGAGAATGTGAAACCAGGCAGCCTCTTAGAGGCAAGGATTTTGAAGCTCTGTCTCAGACTTTTGGCATGTGGCCAGGAGGGATCAGTCCTTGGAAAAGGACATATCACTCTTGGAAGGGTACATGGAAAGTGCAAGAGAAGAAGACCCCAGATGAGATGGATTGACACAGTAACTGGGATAATGGGAGTAAGTGTGTTGGGGACAGTGACATTGGCTCAGTGTAGAGCAGAGTTCAGAGCTATTGTACACAGAGTCGCTATGAGTTGCAGGTGACTTGACAGCACATAACAACAACAACTGTGTTCAGTCTAGATGTTGAGGATAAGACAGTAAATAAAACATATTTAGACTCCCTGCCATCACAGAAGAGGAGCCCCATGGCACCGTGGTTAAATCTCTGGCTGCTAACCCTCCATTGCTCTACCAGAGAAAGACATCTGCATTCATGAAGATTCACAGCCTTGGAAACATTGAGGGCAGTTCTGCTCTGTCCTCCAGGTTTGCTGTGTGTCACTCTATGGCTTTGTGTTCACTCTGTAGCAGTGGATTTTACCCTCTCAGAGGTGGTTTAACTTCCATGTGGGTTTGATTCCTGACCAGGGTGCCCCATCTGTACCTCCTGCTTGTCATGAGAGGGAACGTGGGTGGTGTAGTTCATAGACAGCTGCACTGCCAGCTGGAAGGCCACACCTCTCTGGTGGTGAGAATGCTCCATGGGAGAAAGATGGGCAGTCTCCTCTTGTGCAATTTACTCTTGGTTCCGATTTGACAGCAGTGGCTTTGACTGACCTGCCAGAGGAGACATGCATGCTGCTGTGATACTGAACCGGGTTCAGCAGTTTGCAGGCTAAGAAGGATGAAGAGGAATGGTCTGGTAATCTGTTTCTGAAAATGAGCCTGTGAAGACCCTACAGTTTGCAGCTGTCTGTTCCCATTTGTGCACGAGGTTGCTGACTCCACAAGAGCTACACACAGCCCTCACGGAGTCTGTGTTCTGAGAGGAAGAGACAGCCGGTGAGGCAAAGGAATGAAGTTGGCTTCATGTGTTAGAACAGAGAGGAGACCGAGAATATGGAAAAACTCAAACCCACTGCTGCCGAGGGGGAACTGACTCACAGCTGGCCCTTGCGCAGGTTTTTGGGAGGCTGTAAATTGTGAGAAATTGCCCATCATTCATCCTCAGAATCGTTAGTGGATCTGAACTGTCGGGAGGCCTGCCTTGGGGTCTGCAGTGTGATTCCATATGGATAAGGCCACCAGAGCGCCTCATAAAAACTTAGAGGTTTAATTTTAAAAGGGTGATTAGAATCTGGAACAGGTGTATTGTGGGGTGGGCTGGGATGGGGGGAGAAAATATGCAATGATAGGGGGAAAGCCTCCTAATATTAAAAAAAAAAGAGAAAGAGAAAGGGTGATTGGGGTGGTCTCACTGATGAAGACCTCCTACCATAGGTAGGGAATAAGCTGGTGCAAAACTCTTGGCAAGCAGGAAGAGCACACTGGGCGGAACATCCTCGCTTCTGCAAATGTCAGTGAAGGACGACTCTGAGAAGTCAGATCCTGGATGTCTGTGAAGCCAGCACTAAAAGGGTTTGTTGGTGGGATGGACCAGCAAAGAGGATGATGCTGCCACGAAGAGCTGTGGAGGAGACATGGCGGGAATGGGGCAAGTGCTGTTTTTAGGGGCAGATACCAGTTTGGGACAAGTTAAAGCTGAGTTCTGTGGAAGCGGAAAACACAGAAATCATGGGTTTGCCTAGTGGGTGCTGAGGGAGAGAGCATGGGCGATTGGGGAGCTGATTATGAGGGTGCATTGTGGACAGTCTTATTTATCTACAGACAGTGGATGAAGCTGGGCGGTCACAAAGCTTGGGTAAGCTTTTGAAGAGAGCACAAAGGCCCATGGGCTGGTGGAAGCGTGTGAATGGGATCGTTTGAGCGGGCTGGGTGATGCTGTGCTGGAGGCTGCCACATGGGCTTTGAGAGCTTAGATAAAGGGTGAGGCTGCAGAGATACTGGAAGAAAGGGGGCAGGGAGCGGGGGCACTCGAGCAGGGGAGCTGGATCTGGGCTGGGCGTTCTGGCCTTTAAGGAAAATGGAAGAGGAGAGAAGCAGGGATGGCCAGCCAGAGGGAGGGGAAGGGCCGCTCTGGGAGAAGTTCCGCTGGTTTGCAGGTCAAGTCAGTAAGCTGGACTACCCGGAGCTAATGGGCTTCTTGCATTTTCTCTCCTGTGAAGCGTCTCCCTGCTCCTGGGGCCAATGCGATTTCACTGTGTTGTTCTCCACCCGTGCACTTGTGTGTTTGTATGTGACAGGTGACAGGCACCGTGATCCACTCGTACGTGACAGGTGACAGGCGCCGTGATCCACTTGTGCAGATGTCACTGTTAGCTAGATGGCTGTCTCGTGTGCATGGTCCCACCAACTGGTTATCTTTGAATGCTTATTGGTTCTTTGGGCAGAGAACCCAGGCCCTTAAAAAATCAAGTATTGAAAACATCTGTAAAGCATTATTTGCAGTTCTGGAAGCAATTTCAGTACCTAGAAAGAGTAAAACTGACGAGCAAGTAAAAAAAAATTATATGTGGATTATATATGCCTGTGGTTCCAGATAATCAATAATCTACTCAATCAGTTAATACTTGTCTCCCACCATTTCCTTCTGTTTCCCCACGTTCACCCCCCTCCCCTTTCCCATCCACCCTCAACCTGAGCCTTGGGATTCTGAACTGGAGCCCAGACAAACCATCTGTGCGTGGCTGGGCTGCTGGGGCAGGTCAAGAGGGGTGAAGGGAAATGAGGTATCCTTTTAAAATAAGGCATGAGAAAAAGACTTGGTGGAGTTGGGGAAATCAGAGGGGCTAGGCAGTTGGAAGACAGCTTTGGCTTCTATCAGAATAGGGCTAGGTGTTGAGAAATGGAGCGTGACAGTGAGCAAACTTTGAGACCCTGGGTCCTCGGACAGCATTTCATGGACCTGAATGTGGTGAGTGACCAGAATGAGGGTGGGGAATCAGATGACCTTGAAGGTTCCATCTGGAATGATGTTCTAACCCTGGAGAAGGAAAGGGATGGCTGTGCAGGAGTATGAATAGTGGGTGCTCTGAGGCTCTGCAGGGGCCCACACCAGGGCCAGGAACCCTGCTGGACCCGCAGGGGTTTAAGGAAACAAAGAGCCAGCCCCTTGGTTTTGGGGATCAAAGAAAGCAAGAAGGGGGTGAGGGGATGAGTCTAGGATGGTTTTTCTTTGATGCACCTCTATCCTCCACACTGTGCCCTAGTAAACTCTGCTGTTTCTTCATATCTTTCTGTCTTCCCTGAACCTCTTCCCGACCCCTGGATGGGCCACCTCTGGTCCCTGCCCCTCTCGCAGCAGAAGGGAAAGCATACAGCTCCGATGAGGAGAAGCTGGAGGCCCCTGGAGGCGACCTGGCAGGCAGCGAACCGGAGGAAGAAGGCTCTGGCGCTGACAGCGAGGACAGCTTCCTGGAAGGCGTGGCTGGTGGGCCGGGGCCATTGCTGGGACCCAAACCGAAGCTTAAGGAGGGCCTGGGGCCTGGGGCCGAGGAGAGCGCCCCGGTGCCAGCGGGGACAACAGCCCCAGGGGGCAAGAGCCGGAGGCGCCGCACGGCCTTCACCAGCGAGCAGCTCCTGGAACTGGAGAAGGAGTTTCACTGCAAGAAGTACCTCTCCCTGACGGAGCGCTCGCAGATCGCGCATGCCCTCAAGCTCAGCGAGGTGCAGGTCAAGATCTGGTTCCAGAATCGGCGCGCCAAATGGAAGCGCATCAAAGCCGGCAACATCAGCAGCCGCTCGGGGGAGCCCGTGAGGAACCCCAAGATCGTGGTGCCCATCCCCGTGCATGTCAACAGGTTCGCTGTGCGCAGCCAGCACCAGCAGATGGAGCAGGGGGCCCGACCCTGACACCCCGAGCACTGGCCGCACAGCCAGACTGCTCCCAGGGACCAGGACCCGCGGTTGGGCTAAGGGCAGGAGCTCAGGTTACTGAGGGGCTGCTGGGACCGAGGTGGACCACAGGGAGGGGCAGCTCACACACCTGCTGATGACAGGTGATGGGCACACCTTGGGTAAAGCCAGACGGAGCCAATGGCAGCTCCTTATTTATTTTGTGTAAAGTTTGTACATACCTAGAACTGTCTGTCCGCAGCCCACCTGGGACTGGGAGTTTGTGCAACCTTCATCATAGTCCCCCTTTTCCTTGGAGTTGGTGCCATCTTTCCTCTATAGCACTTGAACACTCATATTCACACAGAAATGAACTGCCACTGGATCCATGAGAAATGCTGGGCCTCACATCATCACCTGTGTAAACTACCTCCATTGCTGCCCCATGTCCACCTCTCGCCCTGCCCATTGCAGCCTTCAATGCCTAGCACTCCAGGTGAGGCTTTCCCTCCCACCTCAACAGCCACCCATCCACAGCGCCTTCCACCGAGGGTGGCGGAGGCCTCAGACCTCCCTAGGTGCCGCTCCAGGAAGGAGGCACCTTGCTCTGTTAAGTGGGGGGTCTGTCCAGCCCCATGCAATTTGGAAGAGACTGTCAGAGGCTGGGGGCTTGTATGTGTCCACCTGTGAGCTCACGAATAAATTATTTTCCATGTAAAGGACATGACCACTGGACCCCTTTCTGCTGCCTGTGTCTAGCCTTCTGCTTTGATGGCATGACTCAAAATCTTTCCTTCTCCTGTCACATCATGTGTGAAGGTTGGTAAAACCAGATGAGAGGTTAGGAGGGTCCATGCTGTGAGGAGCTCAGAGGTTGGAACTGTGATGGGCAAGTTAAAGAATGGAGGTAGCCACATGAAAGACAGGACTAGAGGCTCCAATGGGCTTAAGAGGGCAGCAAGGCCAACTATGGCCACTAGTCAGCACCTCTGCTGTCACCGGAGGGTGCTGGGCTGGCTGTGAAGCAAGCAGCAGCGACATCTGCACAGAAACAAGGATGCCAGAAGCCTGGTGACGTTGGCATCGTGGCCGTGATTTGGGAAGGGGTGAGGCCACCGCACAGGGATGTAAAATGGGCAGGTGCTAAATGAGCCAGGGAAGTAAAGCAAGGTGTCAGGGACGAGGGGTGGAAAAGGACCCTGCCCCCCCATCTTCAGGAGAGGGCAAATCCACATCACTCTTGTTCCTCAAGCAAGGATGGGACACTCTGTGGGGAATGAGAGCATTTTCCCTTGGCATCTGTCTCCACATCTCCTGGTTGGTGTGGCCAGCAAATAAGAGCACCCTGAAGTGGAGACTAGATGACAAACAGTATTGATGTCTCTTGTCAGTACACGGGTTATGTGCCTTCAAAGCGACTATGACTCAGCCACCTTAGGAACAGTGGCTCTGAGCCTTGCCCTGTCCTGTGCCAATCTGTCTCATCCAGTCTTCCTCTCCTGTGCTGACCCTCCATCCTTCCAAGAATGTCCTTCTCCGAGGACTAGTCAAAATAAGTGAGATGGAGTTTTAACATCTATGAAGCAGCCTGGTTTCACCATCTCCAGGACAGACCTGTTTGTGCTTTGGCAGTCCACAGTATGTTCACTACTCTTCTCCAGCATCATACTTCAAAGGCATTGATTCTTGTCATCCTCCTTCACTGTCCACCTTCAAATGCATAGCAAGTAACTGAAAAGACCATGGCCTGGATCAGGCACACCTTAGTCTCTACACTGACATTGTTGCATGGACCCAGGTACATCTGTTTTACCTTTTGGCCAAATTTAAGTAGGATTACATTAAGAAAGTATAATCCAGGCCACCCACTAGCCTGGTCAGCCCCCTAGGACTCTGCCTTACAAAGGGAAACCTTCACGGCCCACTTGTTTTTGGGAACTAAATGAGGCAAAAGTTGAAGATCCCATGAGCTGTCATGCTGGCTACCAAAAAATACCTTGTGCACGGTCCATGGAGGGTAGATGAGAGCAGGTGGGCTGCAAGATGGACAGCTAGAAGCAAAGCCCCCACCGTCATCTTCTAGACTGGCCGGGAAGCCTCCTTTACACCAAGCAGTATTTAGCCAGTCCCACAGTGGTAGGTGTTGTATAGCAGACCCAGATGCAGGCACTGCGTGTCCACCAGCCTCTGAAAACCCACTGGAGTGTCAGCTGTGAGTTGGTTCTGACTTGACAGAACACAATGACAATTTCCCTTAGGGAAGTGGGAGATGATAAGGTCTGGTATTTTCAAAGTTGAGGAACCCATTTCTCTATATCCTCGTGACCTTGTCCCTATTTTGTCCTTGTATTTAAGACCCAGCTTTACAAAAGGAGGGCGCTCCAGTGGGTAAGGAGTTGTGCTGCCAATCAAAGACAGCAGCTGCTGCTCCACAGAATAAAGACGGTTTCCTGTGTGATTTATAGCCTCTGAAAACCCCCAATAGCAGTTTTGAGTTTTTGTAAAAGGGGCTGTGTGTGACTAAACTAGTAGTAGTTGATTATTCACCCTCACCAGGAGCATCAGCCTGCATCTCACTCCACAGGTACTGAGAACATTCTAGAAGGCAAGGGCCATCAAGCAGGTGGTCTCAAGAACGGGAGAGCAATCAGCACTTCAGACAGCTGAGATCTTGATTAGCAAGCTCTTCCCTTTGCAGCATGAGTAGAGGTTTTCTTTTTAGGATAATTAAGGGATAGTTGAAGTGTGAGAAAGATGGGCCATCTCCTGTGACTTCTGAAAGCCCGCTGGAGGGTCAGCTCTGACTCAGTGTGTAACAAGGATAGTTAAGAAGGGGAGAGGCTCTGAACTCCGCCCACACTGTAGCACAGCAGGATGGTGGTGGGCCAGACGAAGCTCACCCTTCTCCCCTGGGGGCCCTGCAGCAAAGTCCTTCCTGCTGTGACAGCCTTTTTTTTACATGGTGCCCTAATAAACGTCTTGCGTCCTTCAAACATTTTCCCTGTGTTAACTTGCTCAGTTGTCAAGTGAGCTGAGCGCTCTCCTCAGGGGCAAGTGGTCAGTTTATAGGGTGTGGCATGAGGTAGCAAACTGCGGCTGGATAGATTTCTAAAGGTGCAGGGGGCCAGGTGGGGAAGGCCGCAGGAAGCCCCAGTCCTGCGTTGCATCTGCTCAGACCTCACCTGGACACACCAGCCTCCCCCTCTGCAGGAAAGAGCAGGAGAAAAGCTAAGGGAGGCCAAGGAGAGAGCAGGAGAGAAGACACAAAGACTTAAGTGGGATGGAAGAATATTCTAGAACTCGGGGCAAAATAAGAAGACTAAACAACGCAGTAGAGATGGGGGCATTTCTGGAAGGGCAGAGAGAGACAAAGAGGCCAACAAGTTCACACACTGCCTGGTTTATTGGCTCATCGTACACATAACACAAAAATATGTACACAACATAAATATTCCAATGTACAATTTTACACGGGACTCAGATCACCCCTGTCTCTCTCACCCTCCCCCCACAACCTGGGCCCCATCTATTTCCCATTTTGGGATGAAGGCTCGCAGGGGGCTGGCACGAAAAGGTAGGAATCTGGAGGAGGGAAGAGGTCCTGCTCCCCTCTCCTCACAGGTTCCTCCAAGGGCCCCATCCTCATAATGGCACCCACAGGGCTGAGCCACATACCTCTACTCTCACTGTCTGCTACAACCCGACCCTTTTCCTCTCCCCCTCTTTGAATCTCTGCCCTAGTTCCCCCCTTACTTCCTTCTACATGTCCCAAACTCTCAGTCCGTGTCTCCTGCCTCCCCAGTGCCTGCAGGGAGGCGGTACAGAGCGAGGATGCAGCCCTCCTGGTCTCCCGGGTCCTCATAGGAGGCTGGGACTCCGGTGCAGCTCAGCAGAGGTGTTGGTCCCGCTGCTGGGCTCTCTGCTGGGGGTGGTTCCTAGGCCACAGCCCTCCCCGGGGCAGCCATGCTGAAGCAGGATGTCCGCGCATTCCTGACTGCCAGCCCGGCGGGCGTAGGCCAGGGGAGTCAGGCCCCGGGCGTCCTGGCTCCTCACGTCTACCCCGTACTGTAAAGAAAAGCACATTTCCCCTAAGTGGCGTGATGGGTGGCAGAGAGCAGGGTGGGGACCCAGAGGTCAGGGGCAGCAGGGAGAAGAGCTGGACAAGGGCAGCACTCACCCAGATGAGCAGCTGCGTGAAGACCACGTTAGCCATGGCACTGGAGAGGTGCAGGGCCGTGCGGCCGTCCCCATCCCCGTACGTCTCATTCACCTCCTCCTTGGACCCGTGGGCCAGCAGCATCACCAGCAGCCGTAGGTCGTCCTCCACCACGGCCCGCAGCAGCTGCTGCCCCAGGGGGACATCTGAGACTGGCAGGGGCGCCAGGAAGAGCTTCTGCTCATATTTGGCCCGGATCCACCGCTCCTTCTCCTCCCTGCAACCAGAGTCCACTAGGATCAGCCAGGCCAAGGGTGACCACTGGCTCCAAAAAGGGGGCATGGAACCGGCTAGTAGGGGACCACTGCACGCAGCAAGGGGCAGGCAGACCAAGGACACTCCTGAGCCCCACCTGACCAAGAGGGGGAGGCAGATGAAAGGAACAAGCATGAGGCACTTGGGAGCAGCAGGGACACCCCAAGTGGCAGTTTATCTGGCAGTCTTAACTCTCGCCGATTGGCAGTACTGAGGACAAAAGGACGGGGCCAGACAGGACACATCGCTTGTCGTATCTAACATCCATTCTCCGCATCTCTGCACCTTGGTGATAGGACCCACGCATGCGCACCCGCCTGGCCCCGACCCATGAGAATGCTCAGAAAGGGCCAATTGTTGGGAGGAGATGAGTGACAGGCTGAGGGGGAGGGGCACCCTTAGGGGCCAGCAGCTAAGACAGCAGTGGCCACTTTAGTCCTCGTAGACGTTCAACAGTCACCCACGCTGCCAGCCTCTGCCCCAAGGCCCAGACTGTGTCCCTGACCAGCCAGGACTCACCTGCAAGCTTCAGGCCCTGGCTTTGTGTAGCCCTCCAAGGAGCCTTCCCAGACGCTGTTGGCCAGCGCGTTGCCCATGGCTGTCATGACAGCCAGCAGCTCCGGGGGCCAGTCATCCAGGTCAAGAGAGCGCACCCGGGAGAGGTGTGCTCCCAGGTGCCGGTGGATTCCTGAGCACTCGATACACATCAGGGCGCCCAGGTTCAGGCTGGCCCAGTCTGGGTCTAGGGGAGGGAGAGGGGAGGAGATCAGGTGGTGCAGGGGAAGCCATCCAGATTGTAAGTCAGTCGCTGCCCCATCACCACCTCCTGACCTCTTCTAAAACTCCCAATATAATAATTGCCATCAAGTTGGAACTGACTTATAGCTGACCCTCCAGCTAGTTTGCAGAGACTGTTGATTACACAGGAGGAGAATACTCATCCTTCTCCAAGAATGGCTGGTGGATTTGAACCACTTGCCTTGGGATTGGCAGCGCAACTCCTTACCCACTAGGCCACCAGAGCTTTTCTACAGTCCTCTTATTTCACCCTCTCCCTCAGTTAAGTACTCACTGGGTGCGTCACAGTCAATACAGAAGCTGTTGCCACGAACAGTGCGGACGGCTTGCACAGCCAGAGCTGTGTTTTGATTTCCCAGTCGTGTCTGCAGCCAGGTGATGAGATGGGGGTGGGGTTTGGGAACAGACACAGAAAGTTGAGTCACTGGTACCCCCAGGCCCCCACCCGGGTGCATGCTGGGCAGGCCACACCCTCCCACCTTGTCCTTGGCACTGCGGCAGCCCTGCAAACTGGCTAGGATCTGGGCCTGGACGCTCTGCACCCACAGCTCCCGCTCCTCTGCTGTGGACGCTTCAAAGTGCCACGTCTGGCCGGTGAGGGACACCACTACGAATTCGAAAGACTCCTCGCCATCTGAGGGGGCAGAGGTGGGGAGAAGGGAAAGGGTCAGGTGTCCGGATGCTCCTGGGATGAATGGGAAATCAGAGCGGTCCTGCTTCACTCATAGCCCTGTCCCACTCACCCACTCACTAGTCTCACTCTCACCACTGCCTGACAGCCCCATCCTCCCAGTACCTCCCACATGGCCGTGCCCCCTCATGGCCTCACCCTTGACCCTGTCCCCCAACTGCCTCACTGCTGGCCATGCCTGCCCCTGGCCCCAATACTTGTCCCCCTGGCAGCCACCCCCCAACCCCTTTCCACTGGTTCAGTCCCCTGGACTCCCTTCGATGGCCCTGCCCCATCCACTCACAAACCTCAGAATCCCCTCCCCCACACCTTCCCTTAGCACAGATAAGAGAGGACGGAGTGGGAATCTTCCCCAGAAGGCCAATGGTGCCACCTGTGGAGTCAAGGGTGGACTAAGAATGGGGGGGACTGAAGGTATGAGCCCTTCTGGCCCTACAGACTGAGAGGGGCATTCCCTGGAGGCAGTGAGCTGCATGTCTGGAGAGGGTGCGGTGGGGTGCTAGGAGGTGGATGCTGGAGACTGGGGGAGGCGGGTGTGGGCACCATCCGTACATGTCAGCTGCCGCTGCCTCATTTTGCAGCTCATTAAACCCAATATTCCTGATGGCAGCATCAGCGTGGGGCTCCCGGGAGCCGAGCCCCTTCCCCCACTACCCTGGCAGAGACAGGGAGGAAGGGCAAGGGGAACTGAGGGGAGAAGGCAAGGCGCCACTAAGAACCAGGAGAATGGACAGGACTGTAGAGACTGGCAGGTGGGAGCAGGTGGCAAGATGCCCTGACAGGCAGCTGAGGCTCCCACCATCTTCTGTAGCCCCAGAAGACAAGCTAGTCCAATTTCACTCCCAAGGGTCACCACCCTATGGGTAACCAATCCCTCACCAGAGTGAAACTCTTGTGGGAGCTGGAGAGAGAGCCCACGACAGCCAAGAAGCCAGAGGTCAGGGTCCTACAGCCAATCTCTGCAAAGGCCAGTCTCCCTGCACCTCTGCTCCGCCAGGGCAGTGGGCCAGCTCAGTGGTATTCCTGGAGGGCCTCGGTCTCCAGACATCCTAACAGAACTGCCTTCCTGAAGAAATGAGATCAGACGCTTTTCTCCCCTCAAACACCCCTTGAAATGCTTTCAGTCATTTCCTTGGTCATGTGGTGGACACACAGTACCATGAGCTACTAAGCCCTTCGAGATCAAAGGTTGGCAGGAAAAGGTGCCTTCTCCTATAGGTGTGAGCCCTGCCCACCTGCCCCTCACACCCAGTGTGGACAAGGAGGAACTAGATGTCATTTGTTATTTGGGGGCAAAGAGATTCCAATCACAGAGAACATGGAAGAGGAAGCCTAAGAGTATGGCTATACCACCCTGAACAAGCCGATCTTGTCTGATCTCGGAAACCAAGCAGGGTAGGGCCTGGTTAGCACTTGGATGGAAGAGCACTGATACAACCAACAAGAGGTAAGACAAAGGTCCTGTGGCATGGGACTGGGATTCCTCAGTCTGAAGATGACAGAGGCGTGACTCGGCCCACCTATAAACGCACATATTAAGCACTCACTACGTCCCCACCGCTCATCAGACATTAACAATGACACAAGAAACACAGATCACGGGTCCTGGCCCTCAAGTCTTAGAAAAGCCACCTAAATGGTAAGTACCCTGCGGCCTTTCATCTTCATTAAGAACAAACAGCTGGACTTTAAGGCCAAGGCTAACATTAGGCAAAAGGAAGAACTTTTCTGATGCCCCAAAGGTGTGATTCCACATCCACTGCGAAGTATTCCTCAGAGTGGGTGGTCTGTGATGGTGGGAAGCAGCTGGCTGTGACTTTCCTGTCCCCATGCCCGCTGCCCCTCGGTGTCCCCACTTTCCCGGGCCCCCTGACCTTCAATGGCACTGGAGGGGCCATCCTGGCGAGGGGTGCCGGTGCTCTTTTTCCTCCGGTGCTTCTTCCGGTTGGAGTGGGGAGATGGGGGAGGCTCCAGCTTGGGGCTGGAACTGAGAACCTCAGCTGGGCCACTGGCTGGTGAGGGCAAGAGGCGGAGACAATGGGAGAGGAAAGGTGGAGGTAGGGGTGAGGTGAGACTGGGCAGAGATGGGTGTGCAGGGAAGAGGTGGCCCTGCCTTGCCCTTAGCCTTGCTTCTGGGAGCTGCATTCTGCCTTACAACTAACTGGGCCAGGCCTAGAAGCCAGACACACACACACCCCCCCTTTCCAAGGTGAGGACCTCTGCTCAACCTAGACTGTACCAGCTTTTGGGGGCAGAACTTGTGGACAGGGCAGCAGGTAGGGGCCGGGCAGAGAGTGGGCTGGGCAGAAGGGCATGGGAAGGGATCTGGCTCCTGCAGCCTGGAGGGGTGGAAGGCATCCCAGGGAACGCACCGGAGCCGAAGCCCCGGCAGCTCCACACCAAATTTATCCTCAATCACACTCCCTGCTCCTCACAATTAATAGCAGAATTAGAAACAATCAGGGAGCTGCCTAATTACTGTCAATTAGAGCGCGCTAATCAAGCTCCCGTCTCCCGCACCCCGCCCAGCGCTCACCACTAAATGTCAAACTTCATCAGAGGCAGACACGCTCCCTCCCTCCCTGCCTTCCTCCTTCCAGGCTCCTCCAAGAGCCTCCCAATGCCAGCAACAGGCCCTGCACCGGATCCCAAGGCGTCACTAACAGCCTGGCTGCTCCACTGCCTGGCCCTGGCCGCGAGGACTTGGGGCCAGCAGATGGCCGTGTGGGCCTTTTGCTTATGACTTGGTCTCTCAGAACTCATTCCTGAGGTCCATGCTTTTACGGGGTTGGGGACTTGGACATGGTTATTTAGAAGGTCAGTGAAGGGGTCCAGTTAACCGCCTAAGCTAGACCTGGTCCTAAAGCCCAGACTATGGAGAGCAACTGTCTGCCAAGACACTCTCCCCTCTTCATGACACATCCAGGCCAGAGGGGACACCTGTGGCTGTCTCCCTTTCTCTCTAAACCTCTGCTCAAGAGAAGGAGGTATTGACTACAAGACAGTGGAGCCCACTTATGGCCCTCAGAAGTGATGATGAGGTCTGTGGCCAAAGGGATATGGATGAGTGTGGTGGAGTTGAAAGAAGGAAGCAGATAATAAACAGAAGAGAAGGCGGCTCGCGGAGGGGCAGGGAGGAGAAAGCAGGGAAAGAGTTGAGCAAGGAATAAAAATGGTCAAGGGAAGGCTTTTGGAAGGAGTGAACAGCTGAGGGGAGCGGGGAGAGTAGGGGCCTGAGCAGCGGGCAGCACTGGAGGGCAGGCAGCCCAGGGGGAAAGCTCTTTCAGGCCGCATCCCTGGATCACATGCAGAGAGTAGGGAGGGGACAGTGAGCGGGTGGGGGACCCGCCATGAGGTGACACCCTCCAGTCTCTGCCCTCCCACTGAGAAGCTGATGAGTCTACAGCACAGGGGGGTACTGGGGGAGCAGGCACCGCTAGAGGGGAGGGAGAAGGGGGGAGATGAAAAAAGCCAAGTGGGGGTTGGGGCAGCAAGCTGTGAGTGCGGGGCAGAGAAGGCACGTCTGTTTCCAAGACACCAGTGTCAGCTCCAGCCTGTTGCCACTACCTGAACCCCGATGGCCCCTGGGGCCCACCCTCCTTGTGGTGAGTTCCCCTCAGTGGGGCACCTGTGAACCCAGAGCCACCCTGGAGGGGGCGGGCAGGCCAGGGCGAGCCACTCACCAGGGTGCGGGGTGCCCAGGGGCAGGGAGGTGGCCTCACTCCACTGGTCAGCGCTGGAAACGGAGCAGGAGCGTTGGGGCAAGCCTTCTGGGCGTGGGCCCGCCAAGGCAGAGCTGCCCAGGGGGCGGTCAGAGTGCAGGCACGTGCTGCTGGCCGAATGGGGGGCACCTGGCAGTGGGTGGAGGGTCAGAGTAGGAGGTGTGGCCAGGCCATGCAGGTAGCAGAGGGAGCACCAGCACAAGTGGACCTGGAAATGGGGCTACACAGGGGGCACCAATAGGACCTGACCCCTATTATGTGTCAGGCCTGGGCAGGAGGGGGATGAACTCCCTGGGCCCCAACCCTGAGGCTACGCATCTCCTCTGCACAGGCTGTGCCATCATGTGACTCCAGAGCCAGCAAAGGGCCTAGAATGGACAGCAGAGCCATCCATCCTGGTGCTCTAAGGACTCCAGGGCCGGGTCAGTAGGCCCTATCTTTTTGGAAAGAGGCTGGCATTTGGCGCCAACCCATACCCACCCTGGTATCTCTCAGCACCGACATCCTCTTGCCCCTGAACCTTTGGCCATATATGCTATTTGCTCTGCCTCTGGTTTGCTGCCATCCTAACGAGAACTAAGTGTATCAAATTCAAGTAATTATGTCTAATTAGTATTAGTAATTATCCTGTTGGGCTGGAGAAAATTAATCTTTTGCTCCCCATCAGGGAAGAATGGTAGAGTCTCTAAGAGTGCCAAAGATAGGGCAGGACATGGCCAGCTGTGGCGAAGGAGGGACAGGAATCCCTCAGAGTGTGCCCTGGCCTCGTCCCACTCCTCACTGGAGAGGTCTGGGAATAGGAACAGGGCCTCTGTGGCAGAGGCAGGAGGAGGTGGGGGAAGCTAGGCTTCCCTCCCCATCAGTAGCTCACCCAAGACTAAGGCTAAGAAAAGACGAAGTGGCTGGTGCCTCAGACCTGAAGGGAGGTGCTGGCGGTCAGCAGCAGCCTGAAGAGGCAGTGGACGTAGGGAGGCGGCAGACACCAAGCCTCACACCAGCCCTGTGAGCACACAGGGCTGTGCTGAGAAGCCCTGGATGGGAAGCTCTGAGCTGAAGCACTGGGGGCTCAAGGAACAGGCCAAACACTACTAACTCCAGAGTGAGTGACACTTAAAGGCTGAGGGCAGGAATGACATTTCTCTTATACTTTCCAGAACAATCCAAACAGGGCCAGGGTCAAAGTAAGTGCATAATACATGTGGCACTGAGGGCCCGCAGGCCAGTCGGATGCCCTGGCTTCTGTGTTTCTGCTTCACACTCCTGCCCTGTCCTGAGGTCCTTCCCTCCCTTCTCCTCTGCCCCTTCCATGTCCACTAGGTCTTTGGGAAACACTGCTCTCTCCCCAGCTCACCTCCTGTCATCCTCTCCCAATTTCCCAGCCTCATCTTGTCCCTTCTCCCATCCAAAACCATCTTGGGCCCTAACGTCCTCCCCAGGCCGCCTAACCTGAAACCCCAAGAAGGGAAGCGCTTTCCCTTTTCTTTGTTAATTCTCCCCTCATTACGCCTGCAATCCCACAATCAGTGTGCACTGTAATTGTCGAATTTGATGCTAATGATTAATGAATTAAACATGGAGTCATCAATTAGTCCTCGGAGGATAATTCTGCATAAAGCAGCGGATAATGTAATTACAGTAACAAAGATAATGAGATGTTAACATCACCCGGTGAGTGAGAGACGTGTGCGTTAGTGTGCAGGAGTCTGGTGTGGTGTTTGGCGCAGGGACGAGACGGGTGGAAGTGGGCCACGTGCTCCCGGGTCACGGTGCTCATGGGTGGGTGCTGGGCCCAGGGAACCTGAGTGCGTGTGCACTCCCCCTCGTGAGCCTAGGGGTCTGGCAGGACACAGGTGTCAAGCGTCTCCCTCCCTCTACAGGGCCTGTAGCTCTCCCAGCCTCTTCCTTCCAAGACAGGCCCTCCTCCGGCTGGCTTGCACTCCCTCCTTAGTGTGAACGAAGGTGTCCTGCTGTCTGGAGGCGGCTCTACAAGGTACCTGGAACCCAGGCTGATCCCGACTGGAGGACTCAGAGCACCAGACACTGAGGTGTCCTTCCCCACTTTAGCCACACTAGCTGGCCCTCCCCAACACCCCCCAAAGGAGGGCCCCCCACCACCCCGCACGCCTGCCTGTCGGGGCAGGCTGTCTTTTCCTCCTCTGCTTCCTTCCTCACCATCACCACAGGGAGCCCTCCATCTGCACAACTCAAACCTTGTCTGAGGTGGTGGAGAGGAAGGCAGACAAGCTTAGGTTCAAATCCCAGCTCCCTTAACCTACTGTTACCTCACAAAGTATCTAACCTCAATGGGCCGATTTTCACAACGGTAACAGAAAGAAGTGACAGTCTCTACCTCAGAGCGTCAGAAACTGGGGCTCCGGGGTCAGAGTCCACCTACAGTGTCTGGTGCACCCACTGATGGCAGTTACTCCCTGCCCACCCCACCTCGGATGAGGCCCCAACACTGAGCAGGGTGGTCAAAGACTGGAAATGCCACCCCCAACACACACACACTCCAACACACACAGACACCAACAGACACCTCACCCCTAAACACTCACACAGGCACGCATATGTGCGCACATGGTGGAAGACCCAAGTCCTCCGCTTAAGCAAGGCCCATACACTCCAGAAGCTCTGGAGACAGCTGCCTTCTCTTCAACCTAGAGCTCTCAAAGGCACTGGCAGCATTTTGCTCAGGCCTTTCCCAAGCACCCCAGGAAACTTATTTTCCCTGTCCCCAAGTGTCAGCAGCACCCTCCGTCCACTGTGACACAATCTCTAATGAAGGCGGCACCATTCAGCAGAAGCATTGCTAAGAGCCAGCCCAGTGGTCAGGGGTAGGGACATGTAGGCCAGTGCCTGGAACAGCTGCTGCTGCAGAGAAATGAGGTCCAGTTGTCTAAGACAACATAAAGGATGCTAAATGAGAAGAGGTCTTGGGTGAGGGCCAGGTGTGGGGCTACCCCTGAAACGCTGGGGACTGTGTGTGGTCACTGCCAGATGGGATGAGGCAGCAGAGCTATGCCCAGTGGGTGTGGTCACTGCCAGATGGACTGAGAAGGCAGGGCTATATAGCCTAGGAAGGAAGCACTAGGGGCAGTATTGTTCATGAGAGCTTTACAGGGAAAAGGTAAAACCACATAAGCAGAGGCTCCCTCAGCCTCCTAGCCCGCGAGGGAACGAGCAGAGACCCCCTCACTGCAGGTGCCCTTCACCCCTGGCACTGCTACCCCTACGTAACACCTGCCTTGGCTCTTTGCCTTTTGCTCTGGATAAGAGGAGAGATGGCTGTGGTGTTGGCAACCTTCCAGATACTAGAAGTTCTATACCTCGTCTATTAGCCAAGACAATTCTGTTCTAGACAGTGGTGCTCCTTCCAAAGCAGTTCTGGCAAATCCAAGCATCAGGGCTGGTCCTAAAGCATGGCACCAGGAGGCAGCATGTGGGAACTCTAACTTTCCTAGGCCCACTGTAGCACCCCCAGTGCCTCACCTGAGCCCCCACCAAGCTGGGTGCTGCTCCGCTCCAGCCCGTTGGCCCGGTGGCTAGAGCCTGGGGCTGTGGCCGGCGTGGCTCGGGGCAGCCGCTTCCCAGGCACCTTCACGGTGGTCCTCAGCAGGTCGATCTCCTTGCCGTGGATGTTCTGCATGTAGTCCTGCAGGCCGTGTCGGTAAGGGAGACAGACATGCATTAGGACCGGACGCTCTGCTGCAGGCCTATGCCTTTGACATTAACCACCCCCCAATGCCCGAGTCCCACTCTGTGGCACAGAGGGGCGAGGGAGGAGAGGGAAAGTGGGGTTCTGAAGCCTCCAGGGCACCTCCCCGTCCAGATCATGAGGAGACTCGCACTGTGACCGGTGCAGCTCCTGGGGGCTCAGTCAGGGAGAGATGTGAGGATCTGGAACCAAAATCCAACACTCACGGCTGCTTCAGGAAGGCAGCTCATGGATGGGGCAGCACACAGAAGCAGTGGGCCTGGCATGGGTGAAGAGGGCCCGTGTGGCTGAGGCACCTGCTCTGACCAGTTAGCCCTTCAGACTTGGGACAAGGACACTCTCAACCCTCCAGGCCGGCCACCAGCATTTCAATCTTTAGGCACTCTCGACCTACCACCCTGGATTACAGCAGTACCCAATAACAAATAATTGTTGCCAGTTTAAAGGAAAGCCTTCCGTCTGTTTGCTGGACTTAGGAATACAAGCCCAAGCCTCTGGTGCCACATGTATGGTGGACACCTTGCGGCATTAGGAACCACCATCATGCTCCTGGCCATCCCTGCACTCAGACCCACTGCTCTACTGCCTTCACATAACGCCCCAGGTAATCATCACGACCTGTGAGGATGGTGTATTCTCATGCCTACTTTGCAAATGAAGAAACTGGGGCTTAGAAAAAGGTTCATTCATCTGCCCAGGGTCACAGAATGGAGGCAGCAGAGCCACAGTCACACCCAGGCTTTTCATACTGCAGAACCCATCCCAGATTCTTATCTTGCCTTCAAGTTCATCCCTCAGGGGCCACCATGCAGGGGCCCAGATGGTGAGGACACTCTGTACTCCGAGCTCTTGCTTCCCATCACTTACATGCAGAGCACCAGGCACAGCCGCATGGCGGGGCCCCGCTCGCAGGCTCTCCGGCTTCCTGCCTGAGACCCAGGGCCTGGCTTTGGTCCCAGCTTCACCTGCCGGTTCTAGTTTCTCCTTCTGGGCTTGGGACTCCTGACTCCAGTTCCTCCATCATTGAACCCTCACCTCTAGGCCAGCACTCTGCACGAGCTGAGAACCTCTCCACAGGGGCCATGAGACTAGGCTCGGGGTGGGCACGGCCTGATCTGTGATTGCATCGCACTGAGGAGAGGTCCTCATCGCATTCGTCACTCGGGTCCTGGAGGGCTTCTGCCCACGCACGGGCTACTGCTGACACAGGCTTGTGCCCTTGCAGCTTGCCCTCATTTCTGCCCACTGGGTGACTCCAGGCCTCTCCTACTGCCTCATCGCTACTGCTCAGAAAAGCAGAGGGAGAAGGCAGTGGGGGTTCAGACACTCCCACCAGGTTGGCCTGATGCTCTGGAGGAGCAAAGGAGCCCATTGAGCAGACAAAGAGTGGGTGGCCTCCAGGCACCACCAGAAGGAGTGCCATTAGGAGGAGGAGGAAGGCAGAGGACAAACAGCACCCTCCTAGCCTCCTGTCCCCTGCTGGGGTTCCTCAACAACTAGCATCTCAGGTGGAGAAGAAAGCCGAGGAGGCTGGAGTGTCAGGCTCGGCTGAGGCCTTTCCACATTATTTCTGGCTGAGATTAAGAGTCACCCAATAGGCTCGGAGTAAGTAGCTATTAAACCCCACAGACAGAACCCCATCAGAGAAGAGTCAGAAGACCATGTGGAAGGAAGAGCCTCTTTTCCATACATGCAGCCTCTGTCCCTAGGACCAATGGGCATACACCAATGCCCAGTGGCAGATCACAAGGCTACTGGACATGAGACATCAACCAGAGCATGTTTCCACCGATGGTCACTCTGTGGACATCTTTCTCCTTCAGCCACCCTGGCTGCAAGTGCATCCCCTGAGCCGGGTCTCTCTGCTCTTAGCATCCCTGGTTTGGCCATAAAGACGCCTGTCCCGTCTTCTAAGCCTCCTCTACCAGCTTCTTCTCTGGACACCCATTCAGACTCCGGTACTCTGCCGACTGCCCATCAGTGTTGCTCTCAGCTCACCGACCAGCTCTTGACTCTGCTGTTTCTCTCTCCCCGACACAGACCTCTCCATCGCCATAGCACCACCCGTGTGCACACAGCTCTCCTCTTCCAGGCTTTTCCATGAGCCCCACAATCCCTTCTTGAAGCAATTGCCTCCAGACAACTGTCAAAAGCTAGCAGGGCCAAAGGCACAGCTGCTGCTCCGTCCTGGGAGAAAGGACTGAGGTTTGCTCTAGTTCACAAGGAGGTCATGGAAGGCGGCTGCAAGTTTCCAGGCCCCAAGGCAGCCTGAGAAGACCCGAGAGCTGGGATACAGAGGGGCGGCCGGCCGACCCTGAGCCAAGAACAGAAGCTGTCTGGAGGGACTTCCTTCAGGCCCAGGGGCCTGGACTTCAGAGGACAGCATAGCAGGACACCCAGAATCCAACCTGCTTGTCCCACACAGACCAGGACTGGGCTGGCATCTCATAGCTGGGCAGGGCTGGGGCCTCGACTCCTCTCCTGTGGCAGCTCGGCTCCAGGCCACGTGGAAGCTAGCGCTGGAGGCTGCTGGTGGTGAGCGGAGAGAGGCAGAGCAGCAGGGACAGGGACCCAGGGGCAGAGCAACAGCGATTCCCTCCGTCAGCAGAACGGGGAGCGTGGTGGCTGTGGCGGCGGCGGGCGGCTCAGGAGAGCGGTCACCACGGCTGCCTTTATTACCCACCATCAAACAGCAATTTCTTCCCCAGCCTCCTCGCTAATTACCCAGCCAGCGTTCTCATCTCGTTTTATTACTGGAATTAACAACGAGTTCAGAGCGTGGAAAGCTATTAAGATGTGTGATTAAGCCACATTCAATTAGTTTCTACAAACAATTTAATTGATGTTGCAGATAGAATTAACAGAAGGTGATTGTGTGAATGGCTCCACTGGCTGCAAAATGGGGGAGGCTATGGCGGGCTCTCCTGGGCCAGGCAAGAATGGGCTCAGAGCTCAAGGTGGTCCACCACCCTTCTCCTCCTGTGCCACCCTGGCCCTTGTCAGGCTGGCCTCCCCAGTGACAGGGGACTCACCAGGCAAGGCCTGGCCCTGGAGAAGAGCACCACCAAAGCCATGCTTCCCTCAGAGCCAGAGTTGTGTGGGACCCTTCCTCTTCAAAGCTTGTGGGTGAGAGAGCCACAGGACGTGGCCAGGCTGCCCACTGCCAGGGTGGGGCCTCCACAACCAACAGCTGAAAGCTGGCTCAGGCTGGCGAAGGGGGTCAAGGGGCCGGCCATCAACACCTGGGTGCAGCGACCCTCAAGGAACAAAGTGAGAGCTGGCTGAGAAAGGTATCCTTCTGTTAGAAAGGACTTCCGACCTGTGAAGGCAACATCCTGAGCAGCCTTTAATGTGGCCTTCACCCAACACGTACATGCGCTGTATCTCCAGTTCAGATCTCAACCATGTCTTCTTAAGGAAGAGGTGAGCATCTGCAGGAGTCCATGGATTAGCACACTCATTCGCTGACTGAAAGGCTGAGGCTTTGAGTCCACTGACAGGTCCCTCAGGAGCTCTGGCAGCTTAGTGGTAAGAAGCTATACTGCAATCCCAAAAGTATGTGGTTCAAATCTACCCGCTGCTCCATGAGAGAAGGATGGGCTATCTCCTCCTGTGCGATTTACTGCCTGAAAATCTGCTGGAGGATCAGCTATGGGTCACTCCCAACTTGAAAGCAACAACAACAGAGGTCCCTCAGATGGGTTCTAGATTCAGTTTACCCCTAAACCCAGCAGAACCTCAATTTTCCAGGATGTTAACTGTGCATTCAAATGCTATCTCTTCAGCCCTTGTCTTTGTTCCCACAGGCAAATGCAACAAAACAAAACCCACAGACTCTTCTCTCCTTGTTCTAAGACCCTGCTCTCCACCCCGGGAAGCGAGGTGAACGGGACAGGTAAGAAGCAGGACAGGACACAGGACTGAGTGGTAAGAGTGGTGGATGGCGGGTTGGCTTCTCCAAGCTCACTGCTGGGGCCCAACAGCAACAAAGACACAACGGCTGGGCTGTCCTGCACTGCGGGTGTGTGTCCCGAATGGAGACTGCCGAGCACGATCCTGGATCCCACAGACTCAGCACTGCATCTTGTGGCTAAAGGAGGTGGGAAGGTGACCTCAACAAAAACCTCTCACTCGTGAAATACAAGGTCCCGCTCAGGCTTCAAGGACCCACTCTTCCCTTCACTGACCTCAGGTACTGAGGCTCTATGGTCCTACTGGTCACACCTGCCCCATGCTTTCAGATGTCCCAAGGACACTCTACTGCAGTGACTTTTCCAACAGGCTCAGTGCCTTTCGGCCTCTCAGGGAATGCCAGGATAAGGTCTGTGTGGGTGCCCACTGTATCAACATGAGAGTTCTCAGGGAGCTTCTCCCACCTGTCCCAGATAAAGCTTCCTTCACCTCCTGTCAGAGTGACAGATCCAGGAAGAATGCCCTATAACAAAGGAAAGGGGCAGTACCCAGGGGACCAAAAGCAGTAAACCCAGGAGGATCAGACCAGGGTGGCCTGACAGGAAGCCCACTGGCCGCTGCTTTTCCTGTGCCAAGGCCTCTGTCTACACACCTCATAAGTCTATCTGAGAGGTGCCCTTTCAACCAGGTGAGGACCAGGAAGCCTGGGACCTAGCATGCCTTGGGGTGGGCCTCACCAGTCTCCTATGCAGACTCAAGGCAGGCCAAGGGCCCTCCAGAGCAAGCCAGGGGCCCTCCGGAGCAAGGCCAAGGGCCCTCCGGAACATGCCCAGGTCCTCTGGGCTGGGGGTGGGGCAGGCCCATGTGCTATGCTTGAGGGGCTTCACAGGAGAACTCATTAGCCCCACAGTGGGGTGGTGACAGAGATGGATTCTGGTGACAGCTGTGTGCTGGAGCCACACAGGGAGGGGAAGGAAGGAGAAAGGGAGGGGCTGCCACAGGGACCACTCTACAGTAAACAGCCCCTCCCTGGCTTAGGCACAGGCCCCTCAATACCTCCAAACACAAGCAACCCACCGGCCCCTCCTGTTGAGGGTGCTGCCTCCCAACAGCTCTCCTGAGCTGCCCTCCACTTCTTGCCCGAACTGAGAGCAGGTGCCATGCCCTCCCAAGACTGAGGGTCTGCTCAGAAATGGACCAGGTGGGAACAGACAGCCTGGCAGAATGACAGTATCTCAGGGCCTAACCATCGCCAAAGTGCTGCACTGTAGCAGCCAGGATGCCACGTTCTTCTTCCCAGGGTATGGCCATGACACACAGCTGAGGGTGTAGCGAGCACTGGCCTGGATTCTTTTTCTAGTGAAAATATCCTTGCAACTAATTCCTGAGGTCCACTCACGACACCTGAGGTCAGCCTTCACCTGCTGCTTCCCTCTCCACACCCCCCTTCAGGCCCTGGGACTCACGTGCAGGCTGGGGTGGTAGGTGAGCAGCCCATTGTCACAGAGCGTCACATACTTCTTCTTCCACTCCTTGTTCAGGGACTTGCCGCTGCGCTTCAACAGGATGCCCTGAGAACAGAGATCTGGTCAGAGACAGGAGCGTGGGTGCTCACAGTCTGTCACGGGGTCTCTTCTTCCATGCCCCTTTGCTCCTGGGCCTTTGCCCGTCTGAACAGCGGGGTGTAACATGACTTAGAGCGGAGCCAGGGAGAGCCCGGGAAGTGAAGGGCTCCGGAGAAGTTGGTTCTTGTCTTACCATTCCCCAGTAAGCAGCCTGGGGCCAGGGACCACTGCTGCACAGGAAGGGGCGGCCCACTCTGCTCCAGGTCATGGAGCTGTGTCAGCAGTAGGAGTAATCAGCAATAATGCTGGCGCCATCAGGGAGGCTCCAGGCATCTCCAAGGGGCAGAGGTGGCACAATGGCTCCTGGCCTTTCACCCCCTGTGCCACTCCTCTGGGTAACAGCACAGGAACAGGCAGGAGCATCCCCTCAACACCCCTGGAATGCCCCTGGACTCCCCCAAACTGGGCAGAACACAGGCCCAGTCTTCAGTTTCAGCAACCACATTTCTGTCTCGTAGTAAGGTATCTTTAAACGTGGGGGTTAAACGAGCTTAAGGATTAATTAAGCCCCAGGACAGCAAAGGCATCTGCTTGCCCTGCTCACTAATGCAGGCTCAGCGCCCAGGGCCAGGACATCACTAGGATAGAGCCAACAGGGAGGAAGGAGGCATGCTTTGCCCTCAAGGGGGCACAGGAGATGCCCAGCAAGAGCCTCTGCTTCTTTCTTACGGGGACCCTGCTCCTTGAATATTAGCCCCTGAGATGTTAACCCTTGCCTGCCCTATGTCCTCTCCCTGAAACAGTAAATAAGGCAAGAACATGGTGGAGAATAGGGGATGGGGTTGGCCCAGGAAGAGAATGGGAACACCACAAAGGTCGACCAGATGGCAGATCATTCCTGGTCCCCACCACTGTCCTGGGATAGGGAAGATACAGCATTCCCAGAGCTTCCCAGACACAAATCCTAAAGGGAGAGGACAGACCCACAGACAGTGGGCTAGTCGAGAAGGGTGAGGATCTCCATTTGCTGGAGCAACAGAAAGGCAAGTACCCCAAGTATGATCCCAATGGATGTTAAGACGTAATCTACTCACATTTGGAGTGGGGAGAGCCCAGATAGAAAAAAGATACAACAGCGGCTCCTTTTAGGATAACGAGCTCTGGTGGCCTAATAAGTTAACAGTTGCACTACCAACTTCAAGGCAGGTGGTTTGAATCCACCAGCTGCTCTGTGGGAGAAACAGGCCATCTCCTCCTGTGTGATTTACAGCCTCTGAAAATCTGCCGGAGGCTCAGCTAGGAGCTGGTTCTGACTCGAGGGCAGGATTGTTTAGGATAAGGGGCTCTGCCCCAGGAAACGGGGAGACATGGTTTGAGGGCTGGGCCGTCTCATCCTCCTCCCATGGCCTGAACACGCAATCACGGAGCCACACAGTCTCCAAGGGAGTTCTTCCTCACAGGCAGTTCAGCCTGGTGTGTGCGGGAGGGGGGAGAGGGGAGCAAGGGGAGGGCAACAAAGGGAACAAAATCCAGGGGTCCGAGCAGCTTCCTGATCTCTCATTTCCTAACAGATGTTTCCTATCCTTGGAACCCGCCCCTTTCTCCACTCTTCCTCTTCTGCCACCCCAAAACACATGGTGCTGTGGAAGAGATGGTCAGTGAGGTTAGCACAGAGGTCAGCCATCGGAGGACCTATTACGGTAAGATGCTCAAAAAGGTCTCCTTAAGACAAGCAGTATTCATGGAACATTCCAGAAGCCTACCTCACTTGTGACCCCTGGAGGAGCTCATGCAGTACTCCTCACTGGCCTCTGGAGATGGCTCACAAGCCAAGAGCCACAGCAAAGAACTCAGCAACTCCCCTCTCCTGCCCTTTACTGTAGCAGCAAAGTATCCCAAGACAAGTAACCTCTGAGGGAAAATGTCCATCCAGTTCTGGAGCAGCTTTCCAACTCCTCAAAGTCTCATTTCTTCCCTGGAAGCAGGAAGAACAAGGTGTGGAAGGCCTCTGTGTGTGTGCAGGGCTCTGCTTGCCTTCTGCCCGTGCAGGACCACCATCCCAGCCTCTTGGCAAAGGGCCACACTGACCTCAAAAAGTTCCTTTCACTCTCCTCTGGGGTTCAGCCTGGTCCTCTGCTCAAAAGGGTCTGCTTCCCTCCCTGCCACCCATTCTGCAACATCACACAAGCCCTCCTCCCACCCTGACCCAGCCCTTGGTGTCCTTGAACAATTAGGAAGAATGGATGGAAGGATCTACTAACTTTTCCTCCCTCCTCCAGAGAAGCTGGAGTGGATGTGGAGAGGCAGAGGCCCCGCTCACTGAGAACTCCTCTCTCCCTGTCCCTCACCTTGGCCTCCTCTTTGGCAGGAGATGGGAGCCAGTGGTAATGATGCTCATTAGCTGGGAAGGTGTGGGAGGCAGCCCCAAGTGCTGCTTGAGAGCCAGGGAGCTGGCCAGCCACAACCTGCCCACCTCCATCCACCTGCATCTCCCCACCTCCTGCCCCCCCGGCCCGAATGCTAGGCAGAGAAGATGCTTCTTCCCCAGCCCCTCCCCAAATCTCTGTTCAGAGGAGATAGCAAGAGCTCCAGGGGTCCTGCTCCCCCCTGGCCCGGCCAGGCTACGCACAGTGAAGCAGGAAGCAATCTGGGGCGGGATGGAAGCTGAGCATAGGCGACAGCCCCCAGAGGACCCGTTCCCGCCACCGCCTCCCTCCCAGCTCTGCCAGCCGACTTAATTGTGGAGTCCGGATTGATTGGGAATGCAAATGGCAACTGAAATGCAATCTCCACTCCCAGCAGGAGCTGGGGGGAGGGGAAGGAGCAGAACTGGGGAGAAGGGACAGGAGGGTGGCAAAGGGGAGGGGCCGAATGGGAAAGCAGAGGCGTGACAAGTGGGCTGGGATGCAGTGGTATGGACAGCCCCCTCCAAGGGAGCCGCATCATTTAGGGACTGCGAAGAACAGGTGCATCCCCCCCAATCTCACTAGTTTGATCTTGCAACAGGAGGTATAAACAGAGGTTTATACCTCTGGTACCTACCTCTAGCCAGCAATGCAGCTCAGTGAGTAAAAGAACCCTTCCTGGGGGACCCCAAGGTGTAGGTGTGCTGCTAACACCGAAGTGACCTATCAGAGTCTTCTAACAGACCAGAGCCCTACCAGCAAGCTCAGTCTCCACCAATCACCTGCCAGGGCTTTATCACCTGGATGGGGTCAGTGTATACAGGCCCTGCCACCTCCACCAGCAAGAGGTGCTGGGGCTCTGCTCCCTGACGTGACACTCCTGCTCACTTCCTGCACGTGTGGGGTGTGGATACACACCCTCAGAAAGCGTGCACTCTCCCACATCTGCCTGCCCCGCCCAGCCCTGGGCACACTCTTCACCTGGGATTTAGCCCCACAGAGGGGATGCGGGAACAGATCTGAGTTTCTGCAGCTGGGCTGCACTCACACCACCCACAGGTGTCAGCGGGCTCATCACTGTGTGCACAGGGTACAGGAGGGGCCACCATGACTTTCTCAGCCTCTTCACCAACCCTCTCCTCTAAGGGTCGACCCAAATAGAGGGGCCCTATCAGATGCCCTATGAGACATAAATTCAATGCCTGTTCTGAGGAAAAGGTGCAGGGAAAGAACTGAGACCATGAAGGAGAAAAGCCAGGACGTCCATTATCACATTCCCCCTCGCCCTGATGTCTTGGCACATGAATTCTAGTCACCCTGACTGTTTCCTACCCGAGTCCCGCAGCCACGCTGCCCAGCCTCAAGGGCCCAGTCTGCATCACACTCCATTCACACACACTGGCGTCTCTCTGCAGCACAAACTGGCAGACACGGAGAGGGCGGGGCCAGAAGACCTCACATCTCACATCACCCAGTGTTCCAGTGGGCACAGCACGCTGACGGCTGACAGTCCACCTGGGACGCCTGAACTCCCAGCCCTTGCCAAAGCACACCTTGTAGTTTTCACAGCTCCAAAGATCCTCAGTTTTCCAGCAGCCTCCACACACAGCATCATTTTAAGCAGACACCCTCAATCATGTAATGTCCTTTCCTAGCCTGGAGCTCCAGGACCAGAAATAGGAAAGATCCACCAGGCTGGGGCTCGGGAAAGCACTCTCAGCATCTCTTCACTGCCTACTCCATTTTTTGGAGGAGAGATGGGCCACAGGGCTCCAACTTGAAGCCCTCTCCCAGGTCCCCCTGAGCAACCCTGGTCAGCAGGCTGGGAAAGCAGTTAACGGGTGATTCTCTGCTGCCCTCCTGTGGCAAAGACACAGCACAGCGAGAGGGACACTGAGAGGCCCTCTCCATGTGAAGAGCTCAGGATACAGAAGAGCTCCCCCTCTTTCCCTGTCACAACAGATGTTCAGAAGAGAGGTAAACTCTCTGCCCTCTCTGGGCAACACAGTGCAGGCGGTGCTGACCTGCTTGATGGGGATGGCTCGGCCGCTCCCAATGCTGTCCATCTTGCACTCAGCTGCTTTTCTCTCCCGGTCCACGTCCGCCCCCTTCCGAGACTGGAAGAGAAGAGAAGGGATGGGTTACCAAGGTCCCAGGCACGCGGGGACACGTGACCCGCCGGAGTCCCCAGTCCACCCTCTCTCCTCCCTCCTCCTGGGCAGGGCCTGGCAGTGGGGGGCAGGGGCGGCGGGATGGGAAGGAACTGAGACCACGAGTATTCCAATGGGTTTATTCTTACACACCATACAGAGCAGCACAGGTCAGTGAGCCGGGCCCGCCCCTTACAGAAGAGCAAGGACACGAGATACCGAGGAGCGCGCAGCCCAGGGGGCTGGGGGTGTAAGAGAAGGGGGGTGCAAGGTGGATGGTGGGACCAAGGTGGGCTAGTGACACAGGGCACGACAACCGGGGGCAGAGTCCAGAAGCGCGCGGGCGGGAGGCCCGTCTGTGGCACAGACACCAACACAGCACAGTGTCCCCGAGCACGCCTGGCGGCCCATGGGCACCGTGGACGGAGAGAGAGAGGAGAGATGCCCGAGGGGGGCCCTGCACCCTGCCAAGCATGTGGGGGCAGGGTCGACCCAAATGCGGATCCTAGGAAACAGGGAGGTCAGAGAGAGGAAAGGCAAGCTGTGGCGACTGCGGCGTCCGGAGCAGGATCCGGAGCAGGAGCAGGTGTGCAGTAGTCCATGCAGGAAGGAGCAGAGGAAAGGAGGGGCAGGAAAGCTCCCCCCGGGAGCAGCTGGGCTGCAGCAGGCGCGTGGACGCCCCCGCCCCGTGGGGCTGCTGTCACGCTGGCGTCACGCTGGCTGGCCGAGGGCGCAGAGGGCGCAGGGCGAGCTCCCTTCTTCTCCATGCGCGGCGGAGGCAGGAGGGGGGGCGGCCTCCCTGGGCAGCCCCGCAGCCACTGGCTCCAGTGCTCCTAGCTTTCCCTGGGGGTTGGGGTTAGTTACAAAGGTTCCTGTGGGTCTCTGGAGAGGGGAGCGCGCGGCTGCGGCGGCCGCATCTCATCTGAGAGCAGTCCCAGGCCCGGCCCGCCTCCGGCCCGACAGGGGACAATGTCCAGAGGTGCTGTGTGTCACCACCTGGTCTTCTAATTTGGAAGGAGTTGGAAAGGCCTTTTTGTTGATGAAAAGTTGGAAACAGTGGCACATATCTGCAAATATTGAAAGAATAGAGATTTTTGGCAAGTTACACTCAAGCCCAGCACAAGTTGGTTAGCACTGGTGAAGGCAGAGACCCAGGCACCTGGGGAGAGGCGGGGTGGAGCGTGAGAGGAGAGGCAGGTGCAGGAGCAGGAGGTGTGGGTGGCAGTGGTGGCGGCTGCACTGTAGGCAGATGCCCCGGCAGAGCCAACCACTGGCTAGCTTGCTCGGGAGCCCTGGCCCCTCTCTCCCGTCCTCCCCAGGCTGCTGGGAGGCCAGGGCAAGGGAGGGTCACAGGGCTGCCGGCACAAAAGGGCAGGAAGCACAGCCAGAGTAGCAGGAAGACCTGATGGGGAAGGACCACCACCTAGCAGCCCAAAGCAGCACTTGCCCTGGGCCCTTCCTGTGTTCCGGGACCCAAACCCCAGCCCTTGGCCCCTCTGGCCCATGAGGAGGAAGGAGGTGGGACGGCTGCCAGCAGGTTCTGGGCAGAAGAGACAGTTGGGCAGAATCAAGCAGGGGTGGGGGGTGGGGAGGTATACTGAAGGATGGGCCCCACCCGGAGGCTTCATGGGAGTCCAGGGGCAGCTCTCCCACCAGAAGGGAGTCAGGACAAGAGAGACAAGACAAGCACAGGGAGCTATGGGTGCCTGTGAGAGTCACACCCGCACCCATGGGTCACAAGGGCCCCAGCTACAGCACAGGCAGGAACAAGAGCAATTGTGGGAAGCACATGGGGTGTCCTCCCGCAAGGAGCGTGATGAGGGGAAGCGCGGGTACCCGACAGAGATGAAAAGAAAAGGGTGAGGCCCTCAAAATAAACCATGGAGACTGACACGCCTTGAGATCACCTCAGGGGAGAACAGAGCAAACCAAGGCCACCATGGAGATGATGGGAAGAAAAGGAAGGTCTTAGTGAAGATGGAGCAAGTTAGAAGGTCCCAGAGGGGTGGGGCCAAGCCACGCGATTAGGGGTGGCACAGGAGGGTCACCATGGTCCAGGCAGATGGCAGAGAACGCAGGGTGCAGGTGGCGGAGCCAGGTCACGGGGAAGTGGAGGATGGTGACAGAGGGGGGGAAGATGCCCTGGGCCGGAACAGCAAGGAGCAACATGGAGGGCGAGGAATGGTGTTGGGGGGAGCAGATGAATGGGGCTCTGTGCTGGGGAAGCAGGCGCCAAGGAAAGCAGGGTGGTTGGCGGCCGGAGCACCCAGGGCTCTGTACCATCCGCAGCAACAGCAGCAGCAGGCGAGGAGGGCAGGCAAGGCTCTGTGCATCTCATGGCGTCAAGACAACCAGGAGGCTGCGAGCGGAGCCAGGGCTGGGTCAGCAGAGCGCAGGGTGGCAGGCAGGCGCAGCAGGCATGGGAGCAGAGCAGGCAGTGACAGGGGGTGTGATCGGAGCCGGGGAGCCCTGTGGGCGGTCCCACCACAGGCAGAGGCGAATGGGGTGACGCAGAACGACGGGCTGCAGAGAAGCTGGTGCTCTCCTGAGAATTTATGGCCAGCTCACCCACCTTGGCCTGACCTGAGACTCCCGGAACCGTTTCTGCCAAATCCCGGCTAGAAGGTTGGTCTGAGGGCGGGCTCACAGGTCAGAGCAGGATGGAGGGCTGCTGGGGGGACTCTGGTGCACCTCCGTGGGAGGGCTGGCCTTCCCATCAGAGGACAGCATCGGAGCCCTGTGGCTACACTCGCTCGGGGAGAGCAAGATGCAAGAACAAAAGTGGGAGGATGAGGCAGATGAGGATGAGAACAGGAGCAACAGGGCGGACCCAGAGACCAAGGTCCCAGTCCTGAGAAGCTTTGGCCGCACGGTGAGGGGTGGGGCGATGGTGGGAAGCACACTGGTTTCCTTTGAGCCGTGTGGGGTAATGGAGAAAGAGGCGGCATGGGCCTGCAGGCCTAGCCTTGGCACTAGCTCTACCCACTAACCCTCCGTGTAACTGTGGGCCCGTCGCCTTCTGGCTTCCAACTGAGTGACTACCGAGCTGAAGGAGACGGGGATTTAGACTAGATGCGTCCAAAGATCCCTTCGTGATGGCAAAGGAATTCTAAGAGCCTATGGAAAGAGAGAGAGGCTTCGTGAGCAGGGCACGTGTGTGGCAGTGGCAGGGACGTGTGGGACATGGTGAGGAGCACAGTGGGCTCCGGGGACTGCTCTGAGAGTGGAGGGCTGAGGAGCCGTAGCCCAGTGTGGTGTGTCTGTGTGAGTGTGTGTGCGCGCGCATGTGGTGTGGTGTGTGTGTCCATGTACAACACAGAGGCACAGTCCTGACCTGGGGCTGGAGGATGTGGGCTACTCCTTTCCTAAGGCAGAGCCCTGGGCTAGGCCCGGCCTGTTCAAGGGAGAACACTAGGCAGGCCAGGAGGAGGGCGAGGCACGTACCGTAAAGATGTTGGAGCGCCGCTTGGACTGCTTGCGGATGGGTGTGGGGGTGGAGGAAGCAGCGATGGTCTCGATGCGCAGCTCCCGCTGGCTGATGCTGGGGGTGGAGGGGACTGAGGATGAGTAGTCGCTGAAGGCGCTGCTGCCGCCATTCGTGGCCTAAGGAGAGAGGACTGCTGAGGGCGGCGTGGGTGCAGCGCAGGGGCAGGCAAAGGAGGTGAGAGGAAGCGGGGCCTGGGCCGTCCCCGGGAGGCCTCTCAGGGAGGCCAGAGTAGCCAGCCTAAAGTGGCAGCCAAGGGCAGAATTCCGAGCTCTAGAAAAACTCGCCAGTGGAAAGTCAGGCACAGCCTGAGGCCCTGACGAGGTCGTGAGTCCTCTTCCTGAGGTCCTCAAGGGATCGGAGGCACCATCTCTGTGCCCGTGTGAGACAAAGCCCGAGGCGGGCAGGCTGTAGGGGCTAAGCCCATCGATGGGACAGGAGCAGAGCTTTTGCTAATGCTGATGGAGGCAGTGAGGTGCCCCAGACTCCCTAAAAGTAGTCATGTATGTTGGGGTGTGGGGGCTGGGAGGGAGAGTGACAGGCTAGGGGTTGGGCTCAGGTGCTGGGAAAGGATGAGGTTTATTTCGAGACAGTGTGTGTGATGGGAAAGGACGGAGAACACCGAGGAAGAGTGATTATTTCCAGTCAGAGTCAGTTGTAGGAGAGAGAAAGGGAGAGGAAGACAGGAGAGATCACAAGATAAGGACCACACGCTCAGCCGGCAGTCCAGGTCCTACCAGGGCTCGGCATTCAACACCAGGCCACCCCTTCGGCACAAGGCTTCCACCTCAGTACAAAGTGCCTCCTGACTTGACCGCCTCTCTCAAATCCTAGTACACACATGAGATTACACTAAAAGCCTCTTTTTTGTGACATCCCCCTCTACCTTGCCCCTCACCTTGGGGGAAATGGCCTTCGTGGAGAGCTGAGCAGCACACAATTTGACCGCTGCTGGCTGCAGGAGGAGCAGATACAAGACAGTAAAGGAAGACTCCTCATTTCTCCCTAACTCGGTGGAAACACCGAGGAGAATCTCTACCGTCTTCTCAGAAGTCCTGCAGGGAAAGGTCCCTGACAGAGTAGCTGGGCCGTCATTAGAAGACCAGGTGGCAGCCAGTGAACCCAAGGAAGACAACAGCCTTTGACAGAGCTCAGGCTGAATGGTGTCAATTCAACCCCTCTACTGAGCCCATCCACTCATAGCTTCAGAGACCAGAGTGCGTGAGAAATGTAGTTTCGAAAGGGCGCCTGATCTATGTACAGGCCCAGGCATAGGTGTCCAAGTGGTACAAACTGAGGAATGCTGGCAAGACCCAGCTCAAAAGCTACCACTGTCATTACACACTAAACTGTATAAGGCATCCATCTCTTTGTGACAAGGACTATCCTTCTACACCCAAATCCTATATACTCTTCTATACACAAAACAGAAAGGTGCAGGGATGTGTGTGTGAGCATCTAGTGCTTCATGGGGAGTGCTCGCCAAATGCCTCTCCCATCAGGTCAAGGCAACAACAAACAGGTGAGGTGAGGCCCTGGGGAACAGTGGGAGGCCAGAGCTGTCAAGGGCTAGTTGGGAGTTTGAAAAAACTCTCTCATTTTTTTATCTTCTAAGTATAGGCCCCATAGAAGCCATTTATTAAATAACCCTAACCATGCCAATTGAAGAAATATTCAAGTTCTACAGCAAAGAGCACTACGGAGGACCAAGCTGAAGTGGTGGGAGGAGGAGCACAGCAGAGAAGGGGGTGCAAAAGGGGGGACAGTCAGCACAGAGCTGCAGATAATGCCAAGCCCAGCCGTGCAGGCTAAATGGGATCTGAACCAATGTTTCCAAAACCAAGTGCAAGGACAGGAGACAGGCACAGGGCAGGGGGAGGTAGTGAGAATGAACCCAGGGACCGAGGTCTTGGCAGCAGACAAGTGCACAGTGTGGGCAGAGCCAAGGCAGAGTGGGGGGTGCCTACCTGGTTGAGGTGCACAGATGGGATGGAGGCAGCAGACACTGCCGAGTGGCTGGGTGAGTTCGGCAGGGACTTGCAGGGCCCAATGGCCAGCTGTTGCTTCTTCCGTAAGGCTACGACCTTCTGGGCCACTGCAGAGGACAGCACAGCCAGTTATCTCCTCTGGGGAGAAGGGAACAGCTCAGGCAAGAGCCTTCCCCTAACACTTATCCCCATGTCAGGGGCCCTTTTGCGGGGCTGGCCTCCAGCCCCGACCACCACAGGCGCCCCGCCGAGTTACCGTCCTGGAAGACACGCTCCACGTTGAGCCCATACGTGGAGCAGGTCTCGTAGTAGGTACAGCGCTTCAGGTCTGTGGACAGCTTGCGGGCCCTGCTGTCATCAATGACCCGGGGATTGGCAGCGCTGATGGCATCTGTGGAGTGGGAATATGGTCAGCGAGGGAGGGTGATGTGCCTGGGGCGGGAGAAGATGTCTTGCTGGAAACATGGGCCTCACACCAACTCGGCCACCAGCATTCGATCTCACTGGAACTGAGGCCCTCTTTATTTTAACCTTGAAAGGTGAGGACCATGTCATTGCCAAGTTCGCTCCTCTCAGATAATACAGACTGTAAGATCCAGTAGGAGAAGTCAAGTGTATGTGGAGCAAGGAAGCTTCCAAAAATGGGCATCAAATTAAGATTCCCATCAGCACTGGGCTGGACCTACGACAGTGCTGGGACTTTTCCCAGGGTTATACAGCTACCTGTTCCACTTCTAAGGTGCTTCCCTGTTCTCTGCCACCCCCAGCCCTGGTGCCCCGGACAGAGAGAACCCAGCCTCACCTTGAGTGCCCACCAGGACCATGGGCACCTCACTGGCATTGCGGAAGCTACAGAGCCGTAAAAAGTAGTTGTACACAGTCTGGAAGCTGATCTCATCTTCTAGGCTGAACACAAACACCACGGCATCTACCCAGGCCGCAAACTAAGGGGAGATCAAGTTCAGTTACTCCCACGCCCAGCCACTGAGCAGCTCCCGTGGCAGACCCCGTTGGGAAAGGCGCACTCCTAAAGCCTCCCTCCTACACTGAGAACATGGAGGAGAGGGTCAGGATGCGGGGACGTCACCTGAAGCTCAGGGGGCCCTCCTTCATCTCGAATGAGCAGCAGGTAACTCTGGCCATCCACTACAATCTCCTTCTTAAACCGGCCTCCTAAGAACAGAGTCTCCAGTCAGTGTCCAAACAGAGAGAATACCAAGGGAAAGGACTCAGGAAAGGCAGAGGCAGTTTCTAACTAGGGAGGTGGCAAAAGACAGGGAGGGGACAATATGGCCACCACACTCACCCTCAGGAGACTCCTCCTGGACATAGGTCCCTGTCAAGTAGCGATGCACCAGGGCTGACTTCCCACTGGACAGGTTCCCCACAATGCCCTTGGAGAAGGGGAGAGAGGGCATCATCTCAGGAAGGTGTGAGGTGGAGGGCAGAGTGAGAAAGGGGAGGAAGATATGGGAGAGGGAAGCGCAAGGCCGCAGGGAAGAAAGAAAATGAGAGAGGGTGGGGAGAAGCCAGCAGAGAAAAGATAAGAAAAGCTGTGAGGAGCAGGACGAGGGGCCCTTCCTAGCCCATGCCCTCCTACCTCCACTTACTCACCACTTTAAGCTCTGGCACAGAGCGACTCAAGGTCCACTCTTGGCTGTTCACAAAGGAGTCTATGGGAGAGAAAGCAGCTGCATCAAGACAGGGACAGGCCCCACCCATTACCTCCCACACACCTCTGATCCCCACCACCTGCCATCAGTGCGACCCCAGCCCTCAGGTGCAGCAGAGAAGCTGTTATTTTGCTGAGAGTCCTTCAGGGGGTGGACTCCGAGAAACATGAGCTCAATCCTCAGGTCTCAGACTTGTCTCTCTCCATGGCTCCCACAGGGAAACTAGTTCCCATTTTGAGTCACACCCAGCCAGGTGCCCCCAGGGCCCAGACTTGAGCCCCAGGTTTGCAGCTATCCTAGCTGGTTTCAGTCCAGACCCCAAACAGGCTGGGCACTTGGTAGCAGGCCCCACCCCCTTCATCGAGTAGAAACAGCTCACCCAAAGCAGGGTGAGGCCACCCACCACATTCCTGAGCCTGGGTGAAGAGGGAGGAGTATTTTACCGACCTGTTCTTGGAGTAGCTCAAATGGGGTGCTTTCTACTCCACCCCGCCCCGGCCCACCCACCTACCCAAGCTCCTCTCCACTGGGAAAGCAGGGACACCCTTTCTTTCCCAGAGACATGCTTCCCAGGCTCCCAGTTTCTATCCACCCTTGAAGTTCTTTCCCAGCACCTCTGGACATTGCCACATGGGGTGGGCAGAATCTCAGGAGAGAGGGAACCTTACTGCTCCCCAGAGCCCTCCAGCAGCCAGCCTACCTTCACCTTTACAGGTCTCACCATCCAGCCTCCACCCCTTCTCTACTAAGCCTGTCCTGGCCAGCTGCCCCTTAGGCTGGGCAGGGTGCTTCCCTTCTCCAGACTGCCTGTCTACAACCACATCATCCCAGACTGCTTCAAAGGGTTAGTTATCCCTAATGTTGGCCAGAAGAGAAGCAGGAGAAAGTGACACATGGCCCAGGAGCTAGGAAAGAGGAGTTCTAGTCCATCCGAAAACCATCCTAGACTGCAGCACCACCTCTGCCTCATCCGAAAGTTGGAGCCCCATCTCCTGTCTCTTCTTCGTCTCATGGTTCATGACGGTGTGGGTCAGATCAACCTGATCACTCACCTCTCCAACCCACCTCTCCCTTCGCCCAATGTCAGGCTTCTCTGATCCTGCCACCACTCCTAGGAGTCACAGTCACTGTACGAAGCGCTCATCACTGGCAAACTCCCTCCTTTGGGCCAAGCCCAGTTAGAAACTGTCCTGCACTGCCACCCACCTCTACCAGGTAGGTCATGATTTCCCCACAAAGCCCTCGTAGATGCTACAGTCCTCCAGCACGCGGCGCTGCCTTCTCTGGCTTCGGGGCGGCAAGCTGCACTCCTTACCAGGCGGCGAACCAGGGGCCACCTGACGACTCCACAACGGCGCCGCCGTGGCGGGGGCCGCACGGCGGAAACGGCTGGCCAGCAGCCTCCAGAGTCCAGCTGCGGCGCGAGGCCGCCGCGGGTCTGGGCTCAGCAGGTCACCGCGGGGCCCGGCGTGCAGCGAGCTGGTGTCGCCGTCGCTGCGGGTGCGCGCACGCGGCAGCGGTCCAGGCAGGGGCCCCGCCTCGGACTCCGCGCGCCTCACCTCCTGGCCGCGCCGCAGCCGGAAGCTGAAGCTCTTTCTCAAGGCAGAGAAGCCACGACGGGGCGAGTCGGTGTGCCGGGGCCCGCGCAGCACCTGCCAGCGCTGGCTGCTCCACAGGGAGGCACCACGCAGGAAGCCCGCGCTGCCAGCCCGGCCCAGCCCCGCGCCCGGCTCTGTGCCCGGCGAGCCCGCCAGCTCCACGCGGTGCACCTCCAGGAACGTCATGCTGGCGGGCCGCGGGCGCGCCGGCTCCTCGCGTGGGGCTCGGGGGCGCCAGGGTGGCGACGGCTCCTGCAGCGCAGGGCCAGGGATGGCTGGAGGTGGTCGACCCTCTGACTGGCCACGACGACTCAAGCGCGGGCGCAGTAGGCTTAGCAGCAAGCCCCGGGCAGACAGCACCGAGCCGCCCGAGCACTCACTCCGTGGTCGGCCAGAGGCACTGTGCAAATCCAGAGAATCACTGAGGCTGTGGGCACGGCGGCAGGCGACCGGCCGCTCCCCGGGGCAGCTGTCCGTCGGCGGCCAGCCGCGCTCCATCGTCAGGGCCCGGGAACGGCGGCCAGGCCCATGGCGAGGGGCGCTGGGCTGTGCCCGGGCCGAGCCGCCGCCGGCTAAGTACGTACTGGTCTCTGGGCCCGGGTGTCTGGCCAACCGAGTCCCTCAACTCCTCCACCTCTCAGCAGCAAGCCCAGACCTGGAGAGGCCGAGAGCCAGCCCCCAGAGGCGAGAAAGGCGGCAAGCCTGGCCTGGAACACCCCGGAACGGTGGCTGGGGAGCCAGCCAGCCGCAGCCCCCGGAGCCCTCAGAGAACAGGAAATTCCAGCCCAGAGCTAGCTCCTCCTAGGACTAGGGCAGGTAGGTGAAAAGCTACAGGGCTAGCACAGGTAGGCAAGGCAAATAACCACCCTCTGGGACAACTCACACTGGACATGTGTTGGAGAAAGTGGGCCACTTTCTCCAAAGGAAGAAGCACCAGAAGGTGATACAAGAGGGTGGAATTTTTAAAGAGCCTGGACAGCACAGATTCAGATCCATTGCTCATGGGATTGCTAGAGTCGTGATGCCTAACACATCAACAGATTAGGAGTCAAGAAGGAGTTATTCTACAGTCATTCTTTACAAGAGTAAGGTTTTATGTAGTGAACAACTGAGAATATTTGCTTCCCATATCCAGTGCTACGGAGGAGGCAAATTCTGGGCATCAGTCTCATCTATAAAATGAACCTGGAATGCAGTGGTCCAACTTTAGATCTTCTGCTCAGCCATTCTGAGTTCTGAAAACTTGGTGAGCACAGCAGCTGCCTTAGGCTACTGCAGGTTCCTGTTAATGACGGAACAATCCTTTCCTCTGGCCACTATAAAGTCCAGAAGATACTGGGATGATCTGTCTGCATTGGGTTAAGTGCCCTGGAGAGGCAGGAAAACATCAAAAGATAACATCCACAACTGGACCAACAGTTGTGACAGACACACTTCTGACTCCTGAGATCTAGTTTCCTGTTGCTCCCTGGACCTCACTGCCTGTATAGATGTCCTTCCTGGCTGGAGTCTGAGGTTCACTCTATAAAGAACATTGTTCTTCCAAGTACAGATGTCCTCCAAGGGCTTGCACCCAGGGAGTCCATGGCCCACCTGAGAATGGGGCTGTGTTGAGCCACTGTGTTTACAATGCATTTCGAGGGTCAGCCAACTCCTGGCACCCTGGAGACTTAACCAGTTTGCCATAATCCACAAAGTGAGAAATCATCACTACTTCACCCCAGACGCCTGTCAGGAGGAACCGGTTTAGGCAAGGGATGAGGGGCACTGTATTTCCTTTAAAGCAACAGTACTCCCAGGTTTCTTCCACCTCTACCCTAACCCAACTCCCTGTGTTCTCTGCAGCTTTAGAGTTCCTGCTCCAGGTCAGAAGCGAACCACTATCAGAGCAGCACATTCCTGAGGGGGCAGAGGTTGGGGAATGCCTAAGGAAGGCTGGGCCTCTCCTCTGAGGTGCTCCAGCAGAAGTGCAGGCTGGGAACACCCAAGTCCTGGTCTGGATCTCCTGGGCCTGGAGAAACCCTGGGGGTGACTTCTTTCTCTGAGACTAGTTATTAACAGTGATGAGGTCACTTCTCACTCTCTGGGATAGATACTCCCCATGTAATAGATGATTATCAAGGGTTTTGCCCAGGGTCCTCAGGCAGACATGGAGACAAGGGTACACTCCTGTCTCCAATTAGACTAAGCTACTACAGAAGACAATGCTGGTTCTCTACCTCAACCTCCCTATCTGCATACCTGCCTATCTGCTCTCTATTTTTATTCTCACAGAATGACTATTCTAAATCTAGCTGCTTGTTCACAAGCCTAATTCTCTGCAAGCCCCAACATGCAGTCTTGGGGATTGAGGAGGGCAGTGTATCCAGGCTGCTTTAGAACCAGGACAGCCTGCACTGACAAAGCTCTAGCCTTCTTCTCTATGCTAGCTGAACTAGCTCCACGAGCTGCCCCTGGTAGGAGCACAAAAGGGTGAGATAAAAGGGGTAAGGGCCCCAGCCCCATGCTAGGATGTGCACACACACAATACACACATACAGTGTCTTGGAGACGGCAGACAGCAGGGCCCACTCAGAGGACAGACCTGCTCCCATATCACTGCACCTCCACAATCAGTTCAGACAATAAACTCCATCTATGTCGGTTCCCAAACGTGGACTACTTACTGTCAGTCCCATGACTGCCTCTTTTTTCTTATCTCCTTTCCCCAGAAAACTTTCTGGCCCAGGGACACGAACGAGTGAGGGCACTTGCTCAAACACACACGTCCCAGAACATCATTGTAGCCAGACACTCCAACAGCACATCGGCCAGAGGCACACTCTCTTTCTGGTTGGCATCAGCCTCTGGTAAGAGACTAAGTCTATGCTTTGTAGTATAAGATCTGTTCCAAGATCTGGAGCAAGCACAGCCGCCCCCAACAAAGCCCCTCAACTATCCTGAGGGAAATGAGAACAATCCTAAAAATCTCCAGACTGAGACCATACACATGCTGCAGAACTGCCATAAATGACACAGCTTCAGGTATCTGAAGGGCATCAGAAAAATCAGGCCAAATTTGTCATTCAAGGGCTAAGAGCCGCCTTGGAAGTTATGGGGGGATTATTGCTATTGTAAATTGCTGTTGCATTAGTGCTTAATTAATGTCAATTCCATGTACAACAGGAAAAAAACATGTGGTTCTCCATCAAGTTCATGACCATTGGTACACTCTAGTCCACTGTATAATGGTCACTGTGGTTTGAGTACCTTCCAACTTAGGGGCTTCATCTTCCACTATTATACTGGATATTTTAGCATGGCCACAGAGTTTTCACTGGCTCATTTTCAGAAATCAATCACGAGGAACTTCCTCAACTTAGTACAGAAGACCCACTGAAACCTGTCCACCATGGATCATCT